ATATATATATATATTAATAGTAAGCATTCATCAGATACATGTACTTATTTATTAAATACTATTACTTTTCATTAGATACTAGTACTTAGTAAAATAAAAATAAAAATCTTACCAGTAGCATCTGGAATAAGTACTAGTAGCTAATCATTAAGTACTAGTATTTAATAATAAGTAGCATTATCTATTTAATAGGTACAAGTATCTAATAAATAAGTACTAGTATCTAATAATAGGTACTTGTATCTAAAACATAAGTACTAGTGCCTAATAAATAGATACTAATATATTAGACGTGTACTAGTCACAAATGGAATAGATACTAGTCAAACTGAACAGTTGATATCTGAATGACTAATCCCCATAGAAATCAATGGCAAACATTTTAAGTGTTACTAGTAACAACAGAATAGTTACTAATCACTACTGAAATAGGTACTAGTATCTAATGAATAAGTTCTAGTATCTAATAAGCACTAGTATCTAACAAATAAGTACTAGTGTCTATTTAATAGGTACTAGTATCAAATGAATGAATACCAGTATCTAACAAACAAACAAACAAAAAAAGTACCTAAAGAATAAGCACTAGTAGTTAATGAATAAGTACTATTGCCTAATGGAATAGATACTAGCAGCTAAAAAAAATATGCACAAGTAACATGAAAATAGTATGTTTTAAAGATTAAATGTTAAAATGACTTGCCATAGTGTCTGAACACTTTAATTATTCCCAATGTTTATTTGTACATGTTTTTAGTACCAATTTTAGTACTGAACAAAACAAAACAGTGAGAGTTGGTGTAAAAGTGTCTCTTCTTGTCTTTCAGTCCTATATCACTGTGGAGGAGCTTCGTCGTGAACTCCCACCCGAGCAGGCCGAGTACTGCATCTGCCGCATGACCAAGTACGCCGGCCCCGATGCGTCCCCTGGAGCCCTGGATTACATCTCCTTCTCCAGTGCCCTTTACGGAGAGAGCGATTTATAAACGCTCTGAATGTCTTTCTTGTTCTCTTTCTTTCCTCTCATTTTCTCCAAGCCCCCAAATGTAGCTTTCGATTTGCGAGGGAGTTAGCAATATCCCTCGTTTCCCCTCTCTGTTTTTCTGTCTGCTAGCTTTAACTTCATATTTGTTTTACATCCACTCTGTAAAGGACGAGTAACTGTCAAACCCTCCTAATATGCATCTCATATGATGAGTCTGAAGTCAACATGGAATTAAATCAACCCTATTTATGTTCCTAATACATGTTGTTTTGTCAACGATTCACCAGTGCATGTTACGCCAAAGAATATCTTTATGCTCTTTCATTGAAATATAATAACTTGCTCCGCCTCTGAAACAACTTTCGTTTTCAGATGATGTCATCTAGGCCAGAAATAAGTCAAATAGCTGCAGTCACAATGTAAAAGTAAAATGGGTTATAAACACAGTTTCATGTTGACTTTAGCACGCTAAGGGCAATTTTCCCTCTCTGTGCCAAATAAAACCTTCCAACATGATAAAATATATATAAAAAATTGTGTTTGTTGATGCTAAAGAGTGCTTGTGAAGATGCATGCTGCGTTTATTCTACAGACATTAATATGCGAGAGCCCCCCCTCTTTGTTCAGTCCTTTATTTTAAGACCCCAAAAAGCACTACTGCTGTCCATTGTCTTCTTAATATGAAACTGTGAGAACAACTAAATAGTCTTTACACAGAATTTGTGTATCTGTATGTTGTGTTGTCATGTTTACCCCTTAATATCGCTTATGATGTATGTCTTCACTGTTCAGAGGCAAATTCATTATTTGTTTTCATTTTATTTGGAGAGTCTGTGCCAAAATGATCAACCAAAGCCAGTAAATGAATTCAAAGATGTAATGGCAGAGTGTATGTGTTGTACTGACCGGAAAGGTTTCTGCTAGCCAAAGAGCTGAACGAGGAAAACCAGGTTTGCCTTAAAACCGACTGTAAAGACCAGTTACATACAAGACAGTGTTGTAAGAGTTTTGTTATGTTCGCACACCTGGAATTTAAAGGGACGGTTCACTCAAAAAATAAAGTTCTGTCATCATTTACTCACCCTCATGTCGTTTCAAACCAATGATATTCTGCATGTCTAGATCAGAAGATGACCAGGGTCTGTCAAGAAGTCTATACGACTCCTGGGTGTTTTTAAGATATTGTGAAAAACAGACCCTAATATGAGTCTAAGGCCTGTTCACACCAATAACGATAACTATATACGCGTCCACATCAACGGACAATAACGGTCTGTTTATTATAAGCGCGCGCTTCCGCTATGTCTTCTGCCGCTTTAAAAGCTCGCGCGGTTTCGCTGGGTGGATTCTGATTGGCTGTCAATGTTTAAATCGTTCAGTTGGGGAAAAAAAAAAACCCATCGTTCTGAAAAAGTTATCGTTATAGTTGTGGCGGGAACTTCCTCGTAGAACGATTATTAAGACTTTTGAACGCGAGTAAACGATGACAATTTTTATTTTAGGGGAACTATTCCTTTGAGAGTAGTGTCGTAAAGAGATCGAGGTATCTGGTTCTTTTAAAGAGAATAAGTTTATGAATGTTCTGGAAGTTTTGGAAGGAGGCAGAAGGTTCTGCCCTTATGAAAATTAACACGGTTTTACTACAGTAAAAGTGTAGTAACCATGGTTTTTTGGCGTATTGATTACCATTTGTATAACCACAGTTTTACTACAAATACATGGTTAAACTATGGTTAGTGTAGCAAAACCATGGTTAATTTGTGGTTCCCATGGTTTAAGTAACCCTGTTTTTTGGTTTTATTTGTAGTAAAACCATGGTT